ATGTAATCACTGTTACTAGTTTCTCAAAAAGTTTCCAAAGGCAGTCCACAGAGTCAGATGTATATGACTATGAACACATATGTGTGTGTGTGTGTGTGTGTGTGTGTGTGTGTGCATGCGTGCATGCAGTGGTAGCATCTTATACATTCTTCTATGCCTTGTTTCTTTCCATTTAACAATATATCTTAAAGGTTTTTTCACACCAGAAGATGTATCTTCATAGGGAAAGTAATGATGATGCTGATACTGATGATGACAAGAACAGAAAAAATAACTAGTTTTTATCAAGTAATGCTACTTCTCAAAAGTGGAATTCCTAGATCAAAGGGTAGGTGCATTTTTTAAAAAAGATTTATTTATTTTAGAGGGGGGGGAGAGAAAGAGATAATGAACAAGTGGGGCGAGGGGCAGTGGAAGAGGGAGACAAGTAGACTCCCAGCTGAGTGGGAAGCCTGATGCAGGGCTCAATTTCACAACCCTGAGATCGTGATCTGAGCCAAAATCAAGAGTTGGACACTGAACTGACTGAGACACCCAGGCACCCCAAAGGGTAGATGCATTTTAAATTTTAATCGACATTTCCAAATTCAACCGTAGGGTTGAATTATTTCTATATGCTATTCTCACTCATAATGAAATCCTCAAAACAACCTCATGAGGTAGTTACTATATTTTCTCAGTGAAGAAACTGAAGTACACAGAGAGATTAAGTGACTTGCCCAAGGGAAGAATGTCTCACATACAAGCAGTCTGATTGCAGGGCCCATGCTCTTGACTCTCCATCGTGCCTCTCCCTTGTGCAATCATCACCACCACCTCTCACCAGAACATTTTCATCTTCCTCAATTAAAACTCTCTACCATCTAACTCCACTCTGCTCTTCTCCTAGCCCCCTAGGAACGACCATTCTACTTTCTATCGCTATGAATTTGACTATTATAGGTACCTCGTAAAAGTGAAATCTTATAATATTTGCAGTTTTGTGCTTGGGTAATTTCATGTAGCATAATGTCCTCAAGTTTCATCTATGTTGTAGCATGTGTTAGAATTTCCTTCCTTTTTAAAGCTGAATAATATTCCATAGTATATATGTGCCACATTTTGTGTATTCATTCAGTTTTCAATGGACATTTGGGTTGCTCCCACCTTTTGGCTATTGTAAATAATGCTGTTGTAAGTAGGGGTGTACAAATATCTATCCCAGTCCCTACTTTCATTGCTTTTGGGAATATAACCAGAAATGGAATCACTGGGTCATATGGTAATGTTATGTTTAAATTTTTTTTTTTTTGAGAAATCCTTATACCATTTTCCATAGCAGCTGCACCATTTTATATTCCCAACAGCAATTCTAGTTTCTTGACATCCTTACCTCTTGCCAACACTTGTTATTTTCTGTATGTTTTTTAAAATGACAGCCATCCTAATGTGTATGAAGTAGTGAATTTTTCATTTTTAATGTATAAAATCTGTTACTGTCTTCCTTCATGTTTCCTGCTTTCCTTAAAAAAGTCTTTGCTTCTCTAAAGTTATACAAGCAATCTCCAAATTTTACTTATAATACAGTTATCATTTCATTTGGTACATTTAGAGCTTTGATTCACCTGGAATTCATTTTCTATTTGATCTGACACAGGGAGTGCTCTCTTCTTCCAGATTCAGAATTAACGATGCCAGTATCTTTCATGAAAGCTCATGCCTTTCCCTTTCCACCACACTGTTTTTGCTGTGGCTTTTTTCCCCCCTACCCACTGTGGGCTGATACTAAGCCACTATTATTTTAATACTTCCTATCTTAGCTTATCAGTACTATCAAATTAGGCTTTAGTTTTCAAAAAAAGAAGTCAGGGGGAGTAAACAGCCATAACAAAAAATGTAGCTCTTTCTCATTAAGCAAAAACATTCAGGAGGATTATAGAAGAAAATTTTATGGCATAAAACTCTACACTTATGTTTATATTTCCCAATGTGACCACTCCCTATGTGAGGCTATTCAGTTTGGGTTTTTATTTAGCGGAGGAATGAGTGTCACTGTAGGGATTAAACAGCAACAGATCTAAGATTTATTGCTGATGACTGGGTCAGGCTCACCTTTCTGTAGAACTCTTAGACCCATACACATCAGTAAAGTACAGAATGCAAAAATAAGAATTTTTTTCCCTTTCAGGAATTAATGCTTATTTTCTTATAATAAGAGATGGCATTTTATTTTTAAAATCACATGTGAACATGAATATTGGAAGTATTATTTCCCAGAAATGGAAAACTAAGTAATGATTTCTTTCCATAGCCTACTTTTGTCTTTATGTTGAAATCAGTTTTAAATTAGAAACTTCTAATTTAAAGATCTGCTTAAAATTCATTAGAATTGGAGATGACCTGCCCCATGAATTCTTCCTATTAGTAATTGTTATTATATCACTAGATTAATTTTCTGATATTAATTGGATTCTGATTTTAGCCACTGTACAAACATATTTTCTTCTAAATAAAAGAATTTCCAGATGTAACAACCATATAAAATAAGCTCCCCAAATTCATTGTAAAAATGATAGACTGATATTCCAGCAATGTTTTAAACTCACCCGCTTGACCAAAAATTTGCTGTGGTGTAGACTGTACCTTTTTAGGGTAAGTAAGCATCTAATATCCAGGGAAGGTGATAGTATTAGTGATAAGAAAACTTAAAGAGAATATAGAATCATTATTAGAGGAAAAAAACAAGTCTCCCCACCTCTTGCAACTGCAAGGAAAATTTGTTGTGTTTTAGTTGAGAACAGAAAATGTATAGAGTATGAAGTTTAAAAATAATGATTTATTAAGAAGAACATATATAATGCTGAACAGTCTTTCCTTTCCTCTTTAATAAATGTAAAGATAGAATGTTTTATTATAAAATTATAACATCTTTGCATCTAAATAGAACTATTCCATACCAAGGGGTTCAGATATTTTTGAACAATTATTGAGTGTAACACAAAAGACTTTTTAAAGATGCAGGAATAATATTAGTCAGGCAACTATATAGCCACACATCTTCCTTGTTTTTAATGATGACTGAAAATAAACACATGCTGTTACTTACCTATCACAACTGATGCTGAAAAGGTACTGTGTTCCATTTCTACTTTTTTAAACAACTGTATTGAGGTATAATTTACATAGTTTAAAAATCCATCCATTGTAAGGTTGCAATTCAATGATTTTTAGTACATTTTATAGTGTTCTGCAACCATCATCATAATCCAGTTTGAGAACATTTCCATCAGCTCCAAAAATATCTTTGTGCTCATTTATAGTAAGTCTTTGATCCCAACATCAGACCCAGAACATTGCTAATCTACTTTCTGTCTCTATAGCTCTGCCTTTTCTGGACCTCTCACATAAACAGAGTCATAGAATACATTGTCTTTCGTGTTCAGCTTCTTTCAGTAAGCATAATATTTTTGAGGTTCACCCATTTTGCTTTGTATTTCCTCCTCCAAGGAAATTTCAGAATCAGCTTGTCAAAAAAAAGTTTTAAAATTTTCTGCCAACCAGGTGTGAAGGCCTTTGCTCAACTTAGCCTTTAATCACCTGTATTTGTTTCTTGCTCTGGATTCCTCCATCCTCTGAAGCATTTTGGAAGACTTATTTTAGATTTAGAACATTTCTGAATGTAATAAAACCACATGAAAGTACGGAAGTACTTTTTATTGGATAAAACCCTTCAGTTTCAGGATTCCCTGAAGTTATAAAAATGTAGGATTAGAAACACAACTCATTGAGAAGATAGAAGGGAAACTAATCAAAGGACATTCTACATAGTCATAGTTGTGTTCAGGGAGGTTTAGTTTTATCTTTTTGTTTTACTTCTCTTTTGCTTTGTTTCAATTCCTGAAAATAAATACTTCACAAATTTTCTGGCTATTATTATAAGAGGTATAAACAACATTACTCCCCATTTTATTTTAACTATAATGGCATCTCATTAGACCAAAGTTATCTATTTGACAGCCTCTTATCTGGAACATGATGAGGAAGCAAGAAGAAATACTTAAAGACAAAAGAACCAAATAACTATAACAAGGCTATATTCTAAAATACATGCAACATACCCACAGGAGGCCCCTGACTTTCAGTCATAAGAATGTATTAGGAATACATGTATTTTTATTTCATACACAGTTCTAACAAGCTTTGCTCCCTTACTGCCCTTAAGACAATTACAACCAAAGATCGTGGAGAAAGAAAGAGAGGAAGACAAAGAACAGAGAGGGAATCCCAGAGAGACTGGTGCTTAGAAGAGGATTTCCTACCATGAATGAGAAATAACTACTTGATACAGGAGGAGACAAAAGACAAATGCAGAGGCCTAGAGCCATTCTGTGAGCTCCAGCAGCACCCCTCATTCAGCAGCACAGGAAACCTAATGATGATTCTTTTTTTTTTAAGATATTAAGATATTATTTATTTATTTGACAGACACAGATCACAAGTAGGCAGAGAGACAGGCAGAGATGGGGGAACAGGCTCCCCATTGAGCAGAGAGCCCAATGTGGGGCTCAGTCCCAGAACCTTGGGATCATGACTTGAGCCAAGAGCAGAAGCTTAATCCACTGAGCCACCCAGGCACCCCCCCAATGACAATTCTGTGTCTTTACAAAAAGAAGTCGCCTAATGCAAACCTTCTTGGAAAAGGGTGCATAACCACTAACTAACTAAATTTATAAATAAATAAGCCACCAAACAACTTTGGTTTGCTATATTCTATTATGAAGGCAACAGCATATTATACTGTATACCAGAGTAAAAGCAGTATATAACTTTTACACAAATGTCTATTAAAATGGTTAGAAATCCTTTTTGCAAATTTTCTTGCTTAAAGGAGTATATTTTTAGTCCTCTGGATAATGCTTTTAAATGTGAACACCTGATTCCCTAATATTGCTGAAAATGTAACATTTATTTATTTATTTATTTATTTATTGGTCTGTTCTCATCAACTGACAAAAATTAAGATGCTAGGCTAATGTCTGGAAGATTCTAACTCCATTTGTAACGAGCTATTACAACATTTAAAGTTCTCTCTATATAGAAGTTATTGATTATTGCTGGGTAAGTTACATTTACAATAAAATAAACATCTTATGAATTAAATACGTTATATAAAACATTTTTCTATTCCTAAATGAACAGTATAACTTATTATGTGAAAGTAAATATTAGGGAAGATGGGCTTTATTGAGAACATTGGATTAACAGTCCAGAGAAGGAGCTCTAGCCTTGTCAAACACTCATTCTACACATTTGTATGTGCCTTTAAATTTTAGAGCTATGGTTTCTTTATCTAAAAGGTAAAAGAAAACTCAGAACATACAGAACTATACATACTGGCAAGTTACTTCATCATTCTTACCAGTTTCCTCTTCTGGAAAAATGGGGATGTTAGTAGCATCTGCCCAACAGACTGTTACAGGAAGTAAATTACTCAATAGCCATTAGCTTTTGGGAATAATATGTTCATTTCTGTGGAGATTTTGTCTTTTTCCCCTGAAACACATTTTTACTTCCCTATAGGCTTCAAGATTTACAGAAATGTATTTCTGACTGATACAATGTAAAGCTGCTACTGCTCTTCCCATACAAACCTCCTTTCCTCCAACCACCCTAAGCATGTTAAAAAAAAGAAAGAAAGAAAGAAAAAGAAAAGAAAAGGGGCTCTGTAGACATAATTTCTTTTTAGTCTCCTAAGAAAATAAACTCATGAGGTAGGTACCGTTACTGTGCCCATTTTACAGATGACAAAACTGAAGCTTAGATACATCCTGACTTGCCTGAGGTCACAGGGCTGGGAAGAGAGGGCTGGAGTCCCATCTAGAAAACTGCAGGAGGCCAGGCTGACCAAAGCTGGGAAGTGCTGCAGCAGAAAATGAGGTTGTCCAAGGGCACACCTGGTCTGGAGGACCTGGAAAGCCGAGCAGAGCATTTACGTGTGATGTCGCAAAAAGAGAAGCCTTAGAAGTTTTTGAGCAGGGCAGCAACAGGAGCAGAATTGATATTTTTAAAATCAATCTCAAAATTTTATATCTGTTTTCTAGGCAAATAATAGCAACTAACTTTTATTGAACCCTTATTAAAGCTGTGCTCTAGACCTCTACATGTATTTGCTCATTTAATCCTTACACAACTCTTTAAAAGGTAGGCACTGTCAGGGCGCCTGGGTGGCTCAGTGGGTTAAAGCCTCTGCCTTCGGCTCAGGTAGTGATCCCAGGGTTCCTGGGATCAAGCCCCACATCGGGCTCTTTGCTCGGCGGGGAGCCTGCTTCCCTCTCTCTCTCTGCCTACCTCCCTGACTACTTGTGATCTCTGTCAAATAAATGGATAAAATCTTGAAGAAAAAAAAAAAAAGGTAGGCACTGTCATTTGTCCATTACAGATGAGAAAACGGAAGCACAGAAAGGTGCAAGAACTCACCAAAATCTAGACAGCTTGCAAGTGATGGAACTAGGCTTCACATGCAGTCAGTATGCCCCAGAGTGCACAGTAGTAACCGCTGGGCCACAGTGCTTTTGTTAATAGACTTATACCACAGGCTAGACATATAAGGCTATCACAGGGCCACTGCAGTAGCCAAGGTCTGAGGTGATAAGGACTTGGATGCCAGGGGAGGTGACAAGAGTGGAGAAAATGAGAGATTTCAATAGAAAAGCTGGTGGAATTTCTGAATTAGATACTTGCGGGATTAAGAAGAGGGGTAAGCTGAAAATGAGACCAACATTTTCATTCCCCTGGGAGAATCCCAGAGCCTCTGAGGAATCCAAGGACTGGGCAGAGAGGCTGGTCAGGAGGAAAAGTGTACCTGAAGTGTAGGGAAGGTTGAATTCAGCATAGTGCCAGGAATGCTAGGTTGGATGGCTACAGCTGGCAGCATTGCTCAGTGAGTAGATGGGGCTCCAGAAAGAGATGAGGGGTTCTTCAGCAAAGAGGAACTTCAAACTCAGGAAAACAGATATACTCTCCCAGAAAGAGAGAGTGAAGAAAGTGAAAGAATACTCCAACAGGGACAGGAAATAAAGGGTAAAAGGAAGACAAAGGGGCTAACACACAGGAATGGCTGGGGTGCTCCAGTCCCTTGCAATATGCCACATTATTTAGGAAAACAATCTGTAAGTAGCTATATTGCTCCTAAAGACAGAGAAATTGGAGTCAAGATATTTAGGGGTCTTAACACAATCACATAGCAAGTAAGTGACATAACTAGAATTTGAACCTAGTCCATGCAATACCAAAGCCCGTCTCCTTCCATAAGCAAAAATGTGTGGAAAGGGAAACATGGTTGGGGCAGGTGAGGCCTGGTGGCTGGAGTCTAGGAAAAGACTGGCAAGACATGAAGCCCAAGAGGCAAACCAGAATAGGATTTTTAAAAGCTATGTCATGTCTAGGAATTAAAGAACCAGTGAAAGGTTTTCAGGAAAGTGATAGAAGAATCATTTTAAGATAGGAATATAAATATAAACAAAGATAAAGAGAGAAATATTAAAAAATGGATGGGTTAAGGAAGAAACCAGGAACAGAGAATACAGATTGTGATAATACTATATTTTTGTTGATGAATAATGATGGTCTGGGCTGGAGCAAAGACAGCAGAGAAGAGCGAGCCTGGACATTTTGTTAAGACCTCCCTATCAGTGTTCCAGGGGAGACACCCAGAAGGCAGTTGGAAATAGTATCTACCACTAAAAGAGTTCTAGGATGGAGATTTAGAATTCAGAAGTCATCAGCAAGAAGTGGTAGTTGGAGACTACAAGGTGATGATATCACCAGGAACTGGAAGACCAAGAGGAGACGGCCAAGCAGGAAACTCTGGGGGAAAGTAAACAGAGGATTTGAAAGACCTTTTCTGGAAGAGTCTCCAATGCTCATTCATTCCTAGGAGTTGCCCTTTTCGTTTGTATCCCATTTACAGAAGGGAAGCAGGTCTCGGCCTTTCAGAACTTTCTCAGCTTCTTATTCTGCCTTTGTCTAGAGCACAGACACTATTTTCCTTATAAAGCCATGGGCTGGGGGGTGCCTGGGTGGCTCAGCTAGTTAAGCAGCTGCCTTTGGCTCAGGTCATGATCTCATGGTCCTGAGATGGAGCCTTGTGTAGTCCTGTCTGGTCCCTGCTCAGTGGGAAGTCTACTTCTCCCGCTCCCTCTGCCCTCACCACCACTTGTGCTCAAGTGTGTGCATGCATCTTCTCTAATAAATAAAATCTTAAAAAAAAAAAAGTCAAGGGCTAGACTTATTCTCTCCAAGGGCTCTTGGCCTGGAGCCGCAAACCCATGTCTGTGCCACAGGATAGGGGAAGCCACATCTCAAGAAGTGTTTAGACAGTCAAGTCTGCAGACCAGGGTCATTATTTGGGAAGTGGTGGTGCCTCCCAGTTCTCTGGGTAATTAGATATGGCATTGAGAAGGAGGTCTTATAAGAACCTTGGGAGGCTCACATTCAGAAAGTGGTGGTCACTGAAATCACTAAGGGAAGGGAGACATGAAATCCACTGTGAGAAACTGGAGGCAGTGTGTTGTTAAGGTTCTTTCAAAGAGATTTAAACAGAATAATTCAGACCAGTCTGCACCCCAGGTCAATTTAGAGCTCTTCGTGCAGTCTTTCTAAAATTCTGGCATTAATTAATATGTAAAGCTAACAGCTTTTCAGATGGTAATCACATACCCTGTCCATTCATCCCCATTTTCTATACTGACTTGATTATTCCAAGTATACGTAGAGTAGACTGCAAATTTGGACTTTGGGATAGGCAGGTATGGGTCAGAATCCGCGATCTGCTATTTAATAAGTGAGGCCACAGGGAAAATCACTCAGACTTTATCAGTTTCCTCAACTGTAAACTGAGATAATACCTTCCGTGGCAGTTAATGCTGACCAGATCATTTAACTTCTGTTCCATTCCGACTCCTTTGGAGAATGCCTGCCAATACAACAGAGGCTAACAAGCCAAAGATGAATTTCTCAGACTCCTTTGCAGCTGAGCTTCACATCTGACCTGAAGCTGCCAAGTAGGCATGCCCAAAGGACACTGCGGAGGTGGATGTGGGTGGTGTAAATTTCTGAGAAGACACTGGATCTTCTTGCAACCCCTGTAGCAGAAGTGACTAGTACTCTGCGAATGTGGAGGTGGAGTTTCAGCATTTGGTCCACAGTATCTATGACAGGAGATGGCAGCTGTGGGATTCCCCCAGGTAAGCCCCATGTTCAGGCAGAGCATTTCTCCTGTTGTTCCTAATAGTACAGGAGGCAAATTGACTTTCATGGCTCCCCCAGAAATTCTTCTTCTTATTTTTTTTTTTTTAGATTTTATTTATTTATTTGACAGAGATAGATCACAAGTAGGCAGAGAGGCAGGCAGAGAGAGAGAGAGAGAGATAGAGAGGAGGAAGCAGACTCCCTGCTGAGCATAGAGCCCGATGTGGGACTCGATCCCAGGACCCCGAGATCATGACCCGAGCCGAAGGCAGCGGCTTAACCCACTGAGCCACCCAGGCGCCCCTCCCCTAGAAATTCTTAAGCTGCTACATACCCTGCAATAATTGTCATTTTGTTTAAACTACTAGTTGGAATGGATTCTGTTTTCTTCAACTCATGGACAGACCTCACAGAGTTTGATGGGAAAGTCGATGTAACTAACTACTACAGCACCAAACACCTTGCTAGTGGGCCACATTGTTATTAGTAGTGTATCAGCTGCCACAGTGAAGTAGAAATAAACATACTGCAATTTCTTTTTCTTTTAAAAGATTTTATTTGGGGCACCTGGGTGGCTCAGTGGGTTAAACCTCTGCCTTCGGCTCAGGTCATGATCTCAGGGTCCTGGGATCGAGGCCCGCATCGGGCTCTCTGCTCAGTGGGGAGCCTGCTTCCCCCCGCCTCTCTCTGCCTGCCTCCCCCCCTCTCTCTGCCTGCCTCTCTGCCTACTTGTGATCTCTCTGTATATAAAATAAATAAATAAAATCTTTAACAAAAAAGATTTTATTTGTTTGAGAGAGAGAGTGAGAAAGAGAGAGAGAGAGTACAAGAAGGGGGAGGGTCAGATGGAGAAGGAGACTCCCTGTTGAGTGGGAAGCCCCATGCGGGACTTGACCCCAGATCATGACCTGAGCTGAAGGTAGTCATTTAACTACTAAATGTATTTAGATCGAGACCTATGATTTTAAGCATAACTTTATGAAGTATGAAGTAGTTAATAAAGCTCTAATTGATAATTAAAATTATACCTCAATGGTACCTTTTGTCAGGAAATTTTTGCCAATGGAAAGGGTATGCGTAAATTTTTTTTTTTAACTCTAGGCTCAGAGTCTGTTACAGACACATAATCTTGCTGATTTTCACAATTTCTATGTGATACTATGGAGATACATGGCTCTATTCTTATCAGTAGAAGAGACCCAGAATATAACATTTGTTCATAACCATTTTTGAAACTAAATTTTAGAACAGTTTTAGATTTATAGAAAAAGAGGACAAAGTTCTTGAATACCCTACCTTTTGTATCCTCTACAGATAATATCTTACATTACTATGGCACAGTTGTCACAACTAAGAAATTAACATTGATATACCACTTTTAAATAAACTTCATATTAAATTTCATGAGTTTTTTCCTTGATGTCCTTTTTCTGTCCCAAAATCCCATCCTGGATGCCCCATTAAGGTTAACAATGAGGTTCACTCTGTGCTGTAAAGTTTAAAGGGCTCTGACAAATGCAAGGTATCACGAATCCACGACAACAGTACTATATAGATGAGTCCCACTGCCTTAAAAAGCCTTCTGTCCCCAATCTTTTGAGAGTTCCAAGAGGATCAGTTTTCAGACTGATAATTCAGTGTGATTTTTGGTGGGAAAAACCTAGGTTTTGAGTTTTTTCAGGCAGTGGTTCTCAATCTTAGCTGTACACTGGAATTACCTGGCAATCTTTAAAAAATACTAATGACTGGTCCTAACTCCAGATCCCGGTTTCATTGGTCCCTTCTGGTTTCATTGGTCTGACATGTGGGCCTGGGCACTGAGATTTTTAAAAGCTCCCTAGATGCTCACAAGTGTGCAGGTAAGATTCAGAACCACTGATCCTGCATTCATCTGTGTCATGACTAGATTCAGCTATCTTTTGATAACAGCACAAATGATTAATTCATGCATTCTACATCACTTTGGAGGGATACTATGAACTATCATGTAAGTTTTTTAAATAAGTAATATAGCAAGGATGAATTTCACATTCTAAATAATCATGTATGCGAAAACACTATTTACTCACTAACTGAACCCAAAATAAACTTCAATTTCTACTACTGAGGGCAAATTTAAGACCAGTTAAAGTGACTCAATTACTTCATCTTAAAACACTTCTTTGTGAATTCAACTTGGCCCCCTCCCCTTCTCTGTCCATTTTTTCCTGGACCAACCTAGGTTTGAGTCCAAGTGATCTCAAGTGGCATGGTCATAGGGAAGGCACATCTGGTTGGAGGGGGCTTCTATAGTTATTTTCTGTTTGATTAACCTGTGCAGTGCCAGGTGGTCTGTTCTGGGTGTTCCACCATGTTTCAGGTTGGTTTGGCCATCATCTCTGCACTCTAAGGTGCTGCTAATCCTCTGACATCCAGACACTTTTCCGGCCCAGCACTTGGTTTATGGCCTCTACTGAAGTGTCTTTTATGGGGTCCCCAGGCTCTAGGTTTTGGTGACTACCTGCTAAGCCACCTGCTTTCCAATTCTCAGCCACCTTCTGTGCCCCTCTTCAGGCTAATATGGGAACCTTGCAGATATTCTCCACACCCCTTGGCAGCTGAGGGAGCCTGAGTGGCCTCTCTTGGGTCTGATCTAAGCTTAGATCTGCACTGCAACCATTTGAGCTCTACTTCAGTTGCCCCTTCCCCAAATTCTTGATAGAAGATAGGTCCACAAGTGCTTTCTGTCCAGGGATCCCCAAATCCCAAATTCATCACAACTCTCCAGAATTTCAACTCCTAAGAGAAGCTAAGGAACCAAGCCCCATCTTTCTAAAGTCTCCTTTTTCCTCTTCCAGTTTCTTCTCACAGTAGAAAGATAGGAAAAAGAGAAAACTGAGTCATGTTACTACTCATTCCTCCCCACCCTATGGTTTACGTCACGAATTCTATGCTCGCTCTCCTCTAGGTTCTGCTAATGATACACAGTGCCAAGATTTTAGAATTTAAAAAACAATTTTCTTTCTCAAGAATCTTTCTCAAAATAATGGGCTTTTAGACTGCTGCTTCTCTTGTGTTTTTTCTAAAAATCCATCCAGAAATCCAGTCTCCTGTGTTCTGGGCTATACCTGCTTTCTGCTCCAATGCAGGGAAAGACACTCAATAAAGTAACAAAGGACTTGAGGCATCAAGAGAATAGTGGCAAGGAAAAATCTCCACTGATGTCTCAGAATAATACCCTCTCCCATCATATCACAATATGATAAGGACCTGCTACTCCAAATGAATGTCAATTTGCAGTTGGATAAAATGATTTCAGTACAAGTTGTAATTAAGATCAGGAAGATGTACCCTCATTTAAAGGCACACAGATCTTTTCTCACATGTGACAGAATAGGCGGAACATATATATTTTAGAGTTGAATAAAAGCTCCAGGCATTCGAGACCTCAGGACACAGAAGAAGAATATCACATCCATTCTACATACATTCCAAGAAGATTTCACTGCCAAGATGATGGAGATAGCTATCCAGAGGAACTTTAGTTAAAGTCTACTGAGATTAAAAAAAAAAAAAAAAAGACAAATCAAAGCAATTGAAGAAGGGAAATCCCCTGGAAAAGCAGATTATTAACTCTGTGCTCAGAATGAAAAGATGAGTAACCAGACTTTGTCATTTGTTTCATCCTCAGCTGGAAAGGCAGCTAATGATGCAGAATGAAATGAGAGAAAGACAAATGGCCTTGCAGATTGCTTGGTCTCGGGAATTCCTTAAATATTTTGGAACTTTTTTTGGCATTGCAGCCATCTCTTTAACAGCTGGGTATGTTTGCTATTTACTTTAAATTTTTCTTAATTTGCTTCTTTTTGTTTTTGACATTAGCATATTACTATCAAGTTGGCCAAGATAGGACTTTGGTCCAAATGGTGTATATGTAACCCCTTATGGGTTAGTACTTGGAAGTGACGGTAGAACCAGGGTAGAAATAGTTCATTCTACCTCTAGTTTCTCAGATTTCTCCCATCTTTGTCTCCATTATATAAGTTGACACCAAGACAGAAGAAGGCCTCTGCAAATTTATCTCCTAAAGGACAGATATCAATACTTAACCATTTTTTAAATGAGTAATCTGAGTATCAACATCAAATAAAGGTGGGAAAAGTCATAGATTCTGCCCTTGAGAACTGCAGAATCTGGTGAGGCATTATGAGTAAGAAAATCCTATTTCCATAGAAGATTCAAATGAACTAAGTAACTTCTAAAATGGTGGACATTATTCCAAAAAGCAGGTAATTTTTTTTCACTGTGTTTACAGATATGTATTTATAGGTCATTCTTGATATTTTTTGTTTTGTTTTTGAACCAGAGCAATAAGAAGGAAGAAGCCAGCCTTCCTCTTCCCTATTATTCCATTAGGCTTCGTCTTCACCTACCAGTATGACTTAGGATATGGAACCCTTCTACAAAGAATGAAAGGTCAGTCTTTGATAAACTAGAGTATATTCCTGATTTATTTTCTGGTTCAAGGATCATCTTCTTATGACCCCTTGATTTATGAACATCCTGACAAGACCCCACTCCCAAAGCTACCAGTGACCAACATTTCTGTTCCCTCTCACACAGTATGCTGGAGTCAGTTCATACTAGCTCACAAGAACTGACTTATCAAATTTTCAGGAATTTGTAAGCTGGTTATTAAATATAGTCATTATTAAACATTATATTAGATAAACTTCTAATTAAATAAATTACAAAAAAATATTAAATTATGATTTTAACAATGGCAATAAATACTCAGAACTTAATCAGTTTTTCATTATTTTACTATTATCTGCACTCTGGTTATGTATACCTGACTTATGTATATCTATTGTATCTCTATGGTAGAAATAAAGATACAATATACACACACAGTAAGATAACACATATAACTCCAACTTCAGTGGCATCCCATTGGTAGCCTGAAGTTGGTCATGGTGGGAGTATTTATACCATGGAATCTGCAAACACCAAATCAAGGCCTGACATTATTTTGTTGACTGTCTAAGCCAGGGTTCGTCAAACTATAGCCTGCAGGGTGGCCACATGTTTTTGAAAGTAAAGTTTTATTAAAACACAGACACGCCCATTCATTTGTGAATTCTCTATGAATATGTTTCCATTACCATGACAGAGCTGAGTGACTGCAACAGAGACATAAGGCCCCACAGACCTAAAATATTTACTATCTGGCCCATTTTAAGAAAGCTTGCCAACCAATAGTCTAGATTTAAGGAAGTGATGAAACAAATGTTAATAATGCAGATTATGCTTAAATGTTTCTTGTATCAGTAGCCATTACATTGTGAATAGCATAAACAACTGAGGAAATATTCTCCTGACATTTAAAAGCTATTATCTGATTCAGCCAAGTTGTTTACATCATTCCCAAAGAAAAAAAGTTCCAACATATGTCATTGTTTCCATTTCTCTCCTATTTGTTAGGGTAAATGAAAATAACAACCATCATTCGTGTTGGAATTATACTCTCATCATTTGCAACTATAGATTGGTTATGAATATAAGAGTTCAACAAAAGTCAATAAAAACATCCTATGAGAATCCATCCATTTGCTATGTGAAATTTATAATAAATATATTGAACATTTTATTATTTTTTATAAATTATGTGCTACATTTGTTTTATAAAGTAAAATTTATAATAAACTTATGTTCACAATAAACTTATATACATTTTTTTCCTGCATTTGATCTTAGCCAAAGGCCGAGAAGCAATTACATTTTTTTCCCTGGAGAGCTGGTTGTTAAATGATCACTGCACCATGCTGCTCTCACAGAACCCCCCCTTTTATTGCCCTAGAAAATAGCACCTCTGCCCCAGAAGCCAGCCCTGGACCAGGAAGACGCTCTCATGAGGGCCCCTGTGTCTCTTCTTCTTGAGCCTTCAACCCAAAGCATATTGGAAACTGTGCTTTCCCAAGTCTTCATTTTTGGCATCCTTTCCTCTCCTGGGCTATCTGTGTACACCACTGTCGCTAAAGCTCTGTGGGGACTGATTTGGTACAGGAAAGGAGGAAGTGAAGACTCCTCTGCAGGTATTGCAGTAGGGAGTAGAACATCTTTTTCCTAGGCCTAGGGAGATACAAGGATTATATGTTCTTGAAAATTCCCACTGAAGTTGGAAATACATTTTCCACACAGAAACTCTGCTAAAAGGTCCCTTGGGGTCAAGCACTACTGTTATCACAGTTCACCTATATTGCATTATCACTATGGTAAAATGTATTCTGAGTTCTAAAACACTTATCTACAGATTAAATTTTGGAGTACAGTCCCTTTTAAGATGGAAACTTACTATACAACTGATTTACCAATGTTAAAACCCATTTCAATAACCTGCTCAGTTTCATATTACTCATCTGCTTAAGAATTCATTAGTCTGATTTCAACTCTGCTCATTGCTTATATGAACATTAGAATTCTCAGTGCCTCATAAAAATTAATATGCAGTATTAAATATCAAGTCTATTACACAGCATTCACTTGAACATACTACTAATAGAGAACAAGTTTATTTTCTAGGAATATCATGACTGTATATTTGGGAAGTAATTTTATTACAGGTCCACCAGAGTCCACAGAACATACAATTTTAAACTTTAAAGACCGGTAGGAATTTCCTATTTTAAAAAAATACAATTTTATAGTCTACCAGGAAACTTGGAGTATTTAAAGTTTAGGTTATAACATTTAGCCCTGTTAACTAGTGATAAACCCAAGATATACAGTCCCTATTTGATGGACTTTATTGTCAGCCTTTCTGCAAACACATGAAAATTTGTCATAAGTAAGGCACTATCACATGGGAACATTTATTTAGTCTTGTCATTAAAGTCCTGTCTAATTACATTTTTTTAAGGATCTTATTTATTTATTTGAGAGAGAGAGTGAGCAAGAGACAGCATGAACGGGCAGAGGAAGAAGGAGAAGCAGGCTCCACTGAGCAGCAAGCCCAATGTGGGGCTTGATCCCAGGAACCCCTGGGATCATGACCTGAGCCAAAGGCAGATGTTTAACCAACTGAGACACCCAGGTGCCCCGTGTCTAATTACATATAATTTATAATTATTTTTGCTTTCTATTCAAAACTGAGGCAAAAAAAAAAAGATGATTGCAGATGGTTGAAATGTTATAATTTGAAAATTGCAGCCAGCCGTATTCAGTCTGGAGTATAAATTAATGGTGTGCTTAAAGAGAAGTACTTAAAAAGAAACATTTGCCTTCATTCCCAAGGAAAGTTTATAGAATGTCAACAATGTATACAATAATTTTTTAAGTTTTGCTAATTAGTATTCAACTGGGTCTAAGAAATTACTAGCTGTCACTTTAAAGAGGAATTGTTTATAAAAATTCTTATGCTGTGTATATATAGGTATATGGACTAAAGAACATTTAATATTATTTTGGGTATTTACAAGTGGTTTCAGGTAAAAGATTAGTATTCTGAAAAAGAATAAAAAGCTTTATTAAGCTTTATTTTCTCTCATGTCACTTACATATTAAGGGGCAGTATAGCAAACACTGTATTTGTTTTCTCCATCCTACACCCCTCCAAACACAACTAATGCGTATCATCCTGACTTTCCTTCAGGGAAAAAAATATTACTTGGTATTCTTTTCTATATTTTAAAATGCTGTCTTCTGTCAAGTAAAACCTATGGCATCTGATTGATCTCTCAAAGACTTATTTATTTATTTACCTAAGAGAGAGGAAAAAGAACATAAGCAGGGAGGAGGGGAAGAGGGAGAGGGAGAAGCGACCCCCTGCTTAACAGGGAGCCCTTTGTGGGGCTTGATCCCAGGATGACCTGAGCCAAAGGCAGAGGCTTAACCAACTGAGCCATCCAGGTGCCTCTGACTGATCTCTATCTCTGTCTTCAGAATTCCTTTTTTCTCCCAAAGGAAAAATGACCTTTCTCTGGGAGGTGGCTTCCTCTGTGGCCAACAGGTGAAATATTTAAGTGTGAGATTTAGAGGCATGCCTCCACATAGTGTTACCACTTGCCACTGGAATATGGCAATTTGGCTTTTTCACGAAATACTAATGATCTTTTTGTCACCTTACATATTTCTGTACTTTATTTAAGGTGAAGCTGAGAACATATTGGAAACAGAAAAGAGTAAGTTGCAGCTGCCAAGAGGCACAATCACTTTTGAAAACCTTGAAAAAGCCAGAAAGGAACAGAGTAAATTCTTCACAGAAAAATGAAATCATGTTTACCCACCAAATCTCAAAACACATAATTGTTGACTTGAATCATGGTTTTTACAACTTTTTAGATGCTTGAGATTTTGATATGATTATTTTATTTTAAAATATAAAAATGCAAGATGGGTTTTGTTAAACTATTTAAAAATAAAATTTATAACATCAACACAAAATCATGGAGGTACTCTAAATAACTTTCTTATTTCCTATGTATGTGTTTATTACAAATATCTAAATGTATAATTAATAAATTATATTGTTTTGAATTTCTGGAAGCAAATGTCCTGCTGTTCTCATTTCTCTCTCACACACACTTTTCCCGTCACATGTGTCTCCCACAGATACTTCTTTTATTTGGATATTTCAATTGAGTCCTCCCTCCACATGATAGAAAATAACTAATATTAATGACTAACATGTATTTGTATTTATTATGGCCACTGTTCTGAGTGTCTTGCATATATTATTGTAATCATCCTAACAGTCCCATGAGGCAGGCATCATTTCATGGATGTGAAAACTAAGGCACACAGAGCTTAAATTACTTGCCCAAGGTCATATAGGGACAGAACTGAGACATGAACCTAAATGGTTTGGCTCCAGTGAATATGCTCTAAAAGGCCTTGAAAAGGTTAGGTGTTTATCACATTCTGGACACACAACGACAGCTGTGAAAAACAAAAGGTAAAACATTGAAATGATGACTTAGGACAGAGCTGCTGAAGAGGTGGGAATGGGGGGAGGTTGCTTGGGATGCCTACCTTTTTATTTTCACTCACCAGGAAACCTTTGCTCATAACTGTATTTATACCCCTTCTTCCAGATGCAAACCCTACATATAACACAATAATTCCAAAGATATTTCCTGATACCTACCCTGTGTCAAGCACCATTATAGACACTAGGCTAAATGAGTGAATGAGAAGACAAGGTTACTGCATCCCAGGCATACGTTCTAGTAATGGGGTGGGAGAACTGAAGACGGGAACAAATAAACGTGGAGATAAACAAGACCATTTCTGATGGTTATGAATGCTTCAGTAGAAATGAAACAGGAAGATAAGAGTGTAAAGAACTATCCAGCCAGAGCGGCCCCACCCTGGTTGAACTGCCATTTTGTTGTAAAACTTAAATTGACACCCCCACCCCCACCCCCAGGGGAACTTACTTAAAAGCAAGTCCAGGAAACCAGTCCCAGGTAACAAAG